CTCGGGGGGAGGCGAGGAAGCCCAGCCGGGCCGGAGAGGCGGTGGGGGAGGGGGGGAGGACAGGACAGGACAGGACATCCACGTGAGGGGGTCTCAACGTCAATGCGCCCGCTGAGGTGCAGTGCGGAGCGTATGCGCAGTTCCCCTGCGCGAAGAGCATGCAACAAGGAGGATCGGCCCACCGAGGGGGCGCGGTCGTGGCCGCATGCAACAAGGAGGAGGGGAACGAGGACGACGAGGAGGAGGACGAGGAGGGCGAGGAGGACGAGGAGGATGAGGACGGCGACGACGACGACGACGACGGGGACCACGACGACAACGATGGGGACGACAAGGATGACGACGACAAAGATGACGAGGACGAAGACAAAAACAATGACTTCGTTCAGGACACGGACACGCGGACACGGATACGGCATGCGTCTTGCACCGCGCGGGTGCCGCAGGGTGGGGCCGAAGCACCTGGAAATTGATCTAGCGTGTGAAACTGAAATGAAGAAAATGACACCTTTACACATCATACTCTACGTATGCGTCTTCAGAGTCAGACCATGTATCTGTCACTGCAAGATCGACAAGAACAAGGTGTCATTCGGATTCGATGCCCGCTGCAAGCTTGCCTTCGCCGATTCATTCCACTTGTCGCCTGACAGCTTTGCAAAACTGAAAATGTCATCCAACCATTGGCGTCTCCGGGCGCTCAAATTTAGATGCTGAGATTGGTCCCACCATAATATTCGCACTGCCCACGCGGTCGGGTGTGCCACAGCAGTTTTCTGGAACCACCTCCATTTGCGACGTCTCCGCAGTCGTGTCCAGTCCTCAATCTGAAAATGATTCATGCATGCCTGGGCCTCCCGCGTGCAGCAGAGCAGGGGCAGCAGGAGGATCAGAGTGGACCAAAGACTCGTCAATGATACGGTAGTAGACCATCCGTACAAGTTCCCCCTCTTCACAGGCGACTATAAGGATTCAGCTTCACTGGGGGAAACGCCACGTTGGAAGACAACCGTTTGAAAAACCTGAACTGCGCAAGACACCAGTCCTACGACGTCAACGCCGCGAATCACCGTCACTGTTGCGTCTAGACGATCCTGAACCGTGACAGAACACAACCCCTGCGACTCTAACATCGCGAATATACGTAATTGTTGTGCCCTGACAGTCCGACATCGTGCCAAAGCACAATTTCTGGGACAATAAGGGTGGTAAAATTTCAAACTGCTGCAAACTCTGAAAACGCATGTGCGCGGCGCGAACGTGAGAGCCACATTCTGAAAAAGAACCGCCCTCCATCCGTGAAACTCTTGGCATTTTCGAAAACGAATGTGCGCGGCGCCAGGGAGAAAGCCACATTCTGAAAAGGAACCGGCATTCACCCGCGAAGCTCTGGCAATATTGTTCAATGACTGAACGCGGCGCAAAAGCAAGAGCCCGTAGCCATTTTGGTTCAAGACGGAGTTTACCTCCCGCCCCGACTCCAGAGGGACGAGGCTGAGGTGGAAGGGCAGCCCCATCCTCGGGCCTGGCTGCCTCAGCCAGCCTTCAGTGAGCTCCTGGCTGGAGCATCCCTTTCGCCCCTCGGCGCTCCGAGGGCATAGGTCGCGCGGCACTCTTGTGCGGCAGCGGCCTCCATGAATGATGGAGACGTGGTCCGCGGACCGAAGACCCCTTTCTGGGGGCGTCAGGGTTGCGGGCGCACGAGCAACCGGGCACGCAGGCTGCGGAGCCGACGCTGGCTCAAGGCACCAGCCTTCATGCTGCAGCGGGCCAGGTCGTTTGGCAGCAGTGGTGGCGGGAGTCCTGATCGCGGTGCTGACCACGGGCGAGGGCGCCCTCCCGCTGCGGGTTCGCGCAGCGAGGCGAAGCTGCAGTCCGGGATGGCCGAGCTGCAGAAGAAGCTGGACCAGCTCCTGCGCGGCGGCGCCTCCAAGCCTGCCCGCGGAGCCACGGGCGGGCATGGCGCAGGAGGGCAGCAGGGCGGGGTCCAGGCCAGCGGAGGAGCTGGCGAGGAGCCCGACCCACTGCAAGTGCGAGCGCAAGAGCTGGAGGCGGCGATCAAGGTCTGCGGCAAGGCCGACGACGCTGCTGAGGCGCGCGCACGACTCGAGGGCAAGCTCAAGCAGGCGCGCGCGGAGATCGAGAGCAAGAGGCCGAGCGTTACCCAGCACACCAACGTCGGGCACAGGCTCGCGCGGGCGACAGCCATGCTGGAGAGGGCCACGGCGGAGCCGGAAGAGCACCACAAGAAGCTCGAGGAGCTCAACGCCAGGACGACCGAGATCCAGGCACGCAAGGTTGCGGCGGCGGCGGCGGAGGTGTCAGAGTCGCAGCGGCAGCATATCCTGCCCCCCCCCTCACGCTGCCGACGGCGATGATGATGATGACAGCAAGCAGCCTTTGGATTTCAACCTGCCCCCCGGCCTGCTGGAGGGCAAGGACGCCATCAAGAACATGCTCGCCACTCCAGAATTCCAGGAGTTCGCGAAGATGTTCGCCGAGCATAGGGCCGCTGCTGGCGGCGATCGTGCAGGGCCAGGTGAACCTCGCGAAGAGGAGGCCGCCGACGGCGCGGGCGCGCCAACCCCGCACTACACCGAGATGGACGATGCCTTCGAAGCCGAAGCAACTGCTGAGGCCGTCCGGGAGAAGCATAGCGGCGACAAACGTGCTTTCACCCAAGCCCTTCTCGGAGCCAAGCTCAAGAAGCCAAAGGTGGCGAGTCTATAGCAACGGACCGACATGGGCGAGCAGGAGAGTGACCACCGAGCAGGCAAGCAACATGGCGGACGTTTTGCCTGACGATGCGGTATGGTTTTACTAGTATGTGTGCGCGTCGGAGTGGCTGCACCAGCAGACATTCGATGATGTGAAGGCAGCGTTGTACCTCTTTGAAGTGCTGCAGTACGGGCAGGGCGCCAACTTCATGAGAGGCGACCATCAGATGCACGATGGCGCGATGGCGCAGCCTGTGCACTGTGCGCGCGAGCAGCCCCATTCTTTATATTTTGCTGCTAAAGCACGAGTCAGGCCGCACTTGGGGCCCAAGTGCACTGGCTTTCGCGTTTCTGCCCACGGCGTAGGCTTTCCGCCGCAGTCCGCCTCCCCCGATGAGCTGGATAGCCAAGCTCATGTTTTCGAGTCGTGTAATGGTGACAGCTGGGGCACTCTCAAGAAAAGACTTGGGAGCGCACAGGCGCCGGTGGTGTTTGCACACGAAGTGGGCATGACTGAAGATGACCTGGCAGCGAGGACGGCCACGGCCAAGAGTCTGAGGTAAAATATGTTGTGCGCCCCGCCGGTAAAGTGTGATGGAGGGCAGACATCCGCTGGTGTGGTCATTGTTGCGAGGACCTCGGTTGGCCTCAGGTGGCCGTCGAGGTTGCCACGTGGTATACTAGTTCCTCACAGGTTAGTGTTCGCCACGATAGACATACCTGGATGGCCCGAGCTGCTCGTAGGCTGCGCGCACACGCACACCAGCGAGGGTCTGAGCAAGCGGAACCTCAATATTGTAAAGCACGCTGGGTCGACCCTGGAGGGGATCCACCTATCGGCGTTCGCAGCTGATTGGAATTTCTCTGCTTTTGTTGCGGAGGCGTCGGGCATGCCTTGGAAAGCTTCGATGGTGGTTTTGCAACCCAGTATCGAAACATGTGCTACCCCGAAAGCGAGCACCAATATCGATTATTCTATGGCATCGGCGGCCTTCTGCAAGCTTGTCGAGGCCACCGAGGTGGACGGCGCGTGGCCGAAGGGCTCCCACCGACCTGTTCAGCTCCGTTCCAAGGCCTGGGGCGCTGAAATTGCAGCAACTTGTCTGCCAAACGCACCAGCAGTTGCCAGTTGAGCTTCCCGCGGGCCCCACCCCTCCCCCGATCGTTTGGTCCGTTGCCCGAGCGGTGGCCGAGGAGGCGAACCGTAGAGCCGACCACGAGGTTGTTCCCCTTGCCTGGGGAGTTTGGGATGGAGCTTGGAGAGTTTCTTCGGACACTATGGAGTCAGAGCTTGAAAGTAGGACTGGCACGCCCATTAAGCGTAAAGGGCTTAAGGTAGGCAGCTACAAGCTAAGTGGGCCCCCGTCCTGACCCCCCAGGTGCAAAACCAAAGACGACGTTCGCGTTGGGGAGGGATGGGTTTGGCTACAGCAGAGGATGACGGACCTCCGCAACACCAGTCAACGGGTGCTTGTGCAGTCGGGTAAGTTTGTTGACCACGCTGAAAGTCAGGCTGCGGTCAACCTCGTTCAGGTTATGAGCCAGCCATGTGGCCGAAGCTCGTCTCCGCGAGATTGGATCTCACCGTCCGCAAGGCGCGAGAGATCGCGGCGGCGTGGCCGCAGGATTTTGTTGCCCTCGCTGGGTGGATTGACCACTGCTCGGAGACCTTAGAAGAGCGGGCCGAAGATTTTCAGCAGGCCCGTGACGGGCTGGACCAAAAAGCTGAAACGAGTTGGGATCAGTGGCAGACGGAGGCGCTTGCGGGCTCGGCCCGAAAAAATGCATCGCCCCACGAGGTTGAAGGCCAAGTGGCAGCCGACGGTGATGGAGACCAGTCCTGGCATTTTCTCGTCGGACCCCCGTAAGCTGCTGGCCCAAGAAGCTGACGTTTCAGGGGGGGTGTAATGTCATTACCACACCCCCACCTGTCGAAGTGCCTGACAGACAGTGTTTTGAGAGAGCCACTGCGGATGAGCTGCGAGCTGCTTCCCAGATGTTCTCGACGCACACGGCTCGGTCCCTGGATGGGGTGCACGTGCCAGTTCGCTTGCATGTCGGATGCTGGCTTGGATGCGCTTGCGTGCCTTTTTCGATGCGTGGGGGAATTGGATCTCTTCCACAAAGCCTTATACTGAATGTTGTTCCCCCTCCTCGGGGAACCCACAAGGGGGCTTGCGCCCGATGTTGTTGCGTCAATCACCAGTGAGGATCTGGGAACGATTAAGAAGACCCCGTTTGACGACGTTTAATGACCACCACCCTCAACGGCACTGTGGGCCT